TCTTGCACCCAACAGGACAAATCACAAGAAATGTAAAGAGGAAACAACATTTATGTTGTGTCAGAGGAGGATGCTGATTGGTAGAGGGGCTGCCATGGAAAATGCACCAGTAGCCGACAACAAATTTTAAACTAGGTAGATTCACTCGGACTGTCAAGGCATTGCCTTGAAAACTGAACTAGAGGATGGGTGTCACCTGTTTTGCTGAGTTGAAACAGGTGCTGTGCGTGTACATCTTTTTATCTGCAAAGAATAGAGTCTCATGTGCAGCTTCCAGTATGTGCAAGTGCACCACACAGCAAGCCTGAGTGACAATCCGAAATTATTTGTTAGTGCAAATCTTTGCACACTCATGGTTATTCAGCAAATGCTGCCTATCACAGAATTGCAACTAATGTTCAACGCTGCACTGAGTTTTCCAAGCACGAGCTGATTGTCAGTACCTTGCCTGTTCGAACAGCCGAAAGGGTTTGCCGTTCGACACTATTTGTAGTCTTTGGGACACGCAGACACATGGATGCTGAAACTCATATACCATTTACCAATTGTTGATAGGCAGAAAGTCTTTTTGGCTTGACAGCAGCATCCTGTTTGTGGTTGATGGTTAACAGTCAATCATCATCTGCTGGTTAATTTTCCATGGTAATGCTTCTATCAATCCAAGTTCACTTGCCAAACAAATCAGAACCTTCCTCTCATACAGTTTAAATGCTGCTTTCTCACTACATTGGTATTTCTTGCAAACTGACCTGAAGAAGGTTAGATGATAAATTTTGATAGTATTATTTAAAAACTTTATCAATCAAAGTTTGAGAAGATTGGTAGCTCAGGTTGGAGACTTGCTCGCTGAGCCGGTGGGTTTGGTTGCAAATGTTTTGTCACTCTGCTAGGTATCAGTGTGCCTCCGGTGTAGCTTCACTGGAGATGCACTGACGATGTTACTGAGCAGGATGACGAAATGTTTGCAACCAAACCCACCGGCTCAGCGAACATGTCTACAACCTAATACTATAATTCTTCTGTTATATAACCTGATCAAGATATCAAGTAGAAATATTGCCCTTGAAAATCATCCTTCTGCACAAGGGAATGAACAAACATTCATTAATATAAAGCATTAACACCCTCTTTGGACACCCCAATTGTTTTAAAGATTATTAATTTATTTTGAATGTAGTCCAGATAAGTGGGCAAATATGACAGCAAACCTGAACTTGCAAATATCCCACAAGCAACAAAGGAATAGGATCGGTTAAGCTGCTTTTAATAGTAAAATCTTGACAGAAGCATGTCAGGTTGAATACAAGGACAACAGCCTGTTTTTTTTTTTTTGAATAGTGCAATAAACCATCTAAACAAGCTGATAGGTCCTCAGCATATGCATCTCTCATTTTTGAGAGTGCAAGCAGTTCCTCAGTAGTACACCCAAGTTATTCACTTAGATTTTAATGGTCAAGTTCCAAGTCATTAAGCACAAGTTGAACTCAAATCCTTTACATTATCAACAAGTGCACTACCAACTTGTCATTTAGAAACTTTTTTTTTTAAAATTAGAAAAATTTTCCCCTCATTATCATGCCAAGGGTGAAGTTTCCAGTAAAGAGAACTCTGGTGTACTAAACAGAAGAATCACCTCCAGTCTGCTAACACTAGATCAGATCTGCATTGCATTGTGCCTTCAGTGCTACATCAGCTACTGAGCTTACAAAATAAGCAAAGTTGATTTTCATTAACTAGTAACATTGAAAAGGCGCAAGAGAGGAAATTGTAGAATTAATAAATTGGAAATATTACTGGGCTCCACAGTCATCCTCATGGAAAAATTTGGGAAATTTACTTGGTTGAGAAGGTACATTGTAATATTTTAAAATGTTAGCAACTATCCAAATGTTTAAGATGTTCATAGCAAAAAGTCTGCCAAATTATATGACCAGGTCAGCAGAATGAACATAAACACATTAACCTACAAAATAACATACAGCAGCTGCTAGAAATCTGGAAAAATAAATGCTGCAACTGTCACAGTAACTGTAAAAAAAGGAGCAAAACATTGAGATTACAACTACAATCTTTCAGTAGAATTGTACTCTTAAACATTAACTTTCCTCTTTCTTACCAATCCCCCCTTTCTTATAAATCCTGTCTGACTATCTGGGTGCTTCCCGTGTTTTCTGACTTTAGGAAAGCAACATTCGTTTTATTAAAAGATCTCCCTACTTTTACCAAGAGGTGATTGCAGAATTCAGCTACAGGTTAGATTATCCCACAATATATTTTCTATGTCTACCAGATCAGTAGGAAGTTTTATATTAGTGTCTACAGATATGTTAGGAGCAGGTTTAATAGTTTGTTTACCATTGGATTGGAATCCGATATCAAGTCCTTGAGAGTGTCCAGAAATCCCTGATCTTCAACGAGCTGTGCATTGATATCATGTAGTTTAGCTACACAAACAGCAGCAGTCTTTCGTACATAGGGATCTTCATCCTTCAGACATTTTCGCAAGGGCTCGCACAAGTACTCAGTGATTTTATCTACACGGATACAGCCCATGGTTCTCACTGCCAGCGCTCTAATAAGTGGATTGGGATCTTCACAGTCCTGAAATTTTAACATCAAATCACACTCAATCACAGCTTTAGAAATGGAAGAGTATCCATTCTTAATTTCAGTTATGCAGAAAATGTGGAGTTTTGGGATATCATACATGAAGATTAAGAGGAGTGACAAATTTTACATTTACACAACACTGAACTGAGTTGATTAGTTGTAAATAGTATCGTCGATCTTTTTCATCCACACAACCACAAAGTCCCAGATATGAGCAGAATTAGTTAATTAGAGTGGAATATGCAGGAGGTAAAGTAACACGAATCCTTACTTCCAGCTATGACCCAACAATTCAATTTGAAAACATGCATATTTAATACATGCCTTACCCATAAATGATCATCAGCAAATTAGTGGAAGTTGTCTAGCACTTGGAAACAGTATGCATCATAATATACTGCTTTTGGAATGGTAGCAGCAAAAGGAGAAAAATCAGAAGGCAGCCTGCTAGTTATCAACTCCTTAGGGAAAAGGCCAATTTTCACAACAGTACTAATAATGAACCTCAAGAATATGAGCATCTTTACCATATTTTTTCATTTGGCAGCTTATTAACTCAGCCAACTTAAACAAGGAATGCTAAATAACTACTCAAATGAAACATTGCAGATCAAGATCTGAGAGGTAAATGATTCTGTGTAATCATTGTTTATAACATCGTAATGTGGAAACTAAGTACTAGGTACTTGTAGATCACTTGGAAAAAAATAAGATTGACAGATTCAACAACATGACAGAATTACCATTAATAGAAATGTATAAACACGATACATCTAACAACATTATCCTGATATTTAATTTCAATGCTTGAATAAAAGTTTAACCAAATTATCAAGTATTACAAAATGTAAACATATTTATATTTTATTTATTTTTCTTGATAAAGCATCAAGACAATCATTTTGATTTCTGCAATCTAGTAAGCTATATAGGGTTGTAGTGGTTTACCAGAATTCTTAACAGTAAAAAGCAGGAAAAGGCATGACACTATACATTTAAGAATGTATACTGAACACTGTAGGAAGTTTATGGATTTCAAATGGATGAATCGACAATTGAAGTACATATTCTAATTTCAATATTTTACAGCTCTAAAAGAGTGTCTATGTAACAACAAATTCCAAGCAACAATACGCAGAACTCAAACATAATGAAGCTCCTTCTTATCTAAACCCAATAATTTAGATTATAACTCAGGCATTAACAACACAGTAGTGCAGATTTTCCCATTTTGATACTAACTCATCCTGAATTATAGGAAACCTTGAGAAAGGAGGAACTTGAGTCGCACAATTATATTTTTTTAAACACCTAACAGCCACACATCAGGTGTTTTACTTTTGAAGTGCAGTTGCTGCTGTCGAAGGGAAAAATGTTGCACACTTTTTGCACGCAGTAGGATCCTACCAATAGCAAAGAAAAACAGCTTAGTTTTCTTAGAATATCAGTACACCATTAGTATTCATCTTTTTAACATGGTATGCCCATTTTAATGCATAGGATGAAAAATACACAAATTACTGATCAGATTTACTGTTTTAGAGGCTTGGGGATTGGATGATGTTGCCAGTTACTAGACAGCATAATTTTATTCAAATAGCACTGGTTGAAAGAGAAATGCTGACTGATTACTCCGAACTTCTAGTTCTTCAAATTGTGCCATTGAATCTTTAGCATTTATTTGAGCCAACAGAACAAGCACACAATTTTAACATTTTATCTATCAGTGTAGTACTGCTGCAAAAATGCAGAATGATTTAAAGCAGTAACGTATTGTAATTGGACAATAACCTAAAACCTTCTGTTTCAGAGACAAGAGTTCACCTAATTGAATCATGTGCACAACTGTATGGATGAATGCTCACTGGAAACTGGGTTGGGACTGCCCTAACACTTGAGGACATTTACAGGCAATAATGAAAAAAAAAATTCACTTTATGATTGGGATTGTTTTGGAACACAAGATGAACAGAAATATCATGAATCAATAAGCAACCCAGTCCCTCACCTACCACCACCAGGATGGGGCACAATCTGAGAAATTAGCTTTAAGTTTAGTTAATTAAAGATATTAGCTTGTCATCAATAAGACTTTTTGTTTAAGTACACAGTGTACATTTTAATAGATAAAGTGCTAAGTTAGATTGCTGATAAAATGTACTGTTTTAGAGAGCTGCAGATTAGGTGTTGCAATTGGTTAATGGACTGTTCACTTACTTTTGGGATCTACATTTAAACATTATCCTGATTATACTTCTGTGCTGCCCGGATTTAGTGAAGCTTTGTATACAAGTCTGTTAAAAATTCTGAAACAATTTATCAAAATATATACCTTAACGAAGGTGTTGACTGCCATAATTGCCATATCAGGCTGACTCTTGGCATAGTTCATTAGATAAAGATACACCAGCTTCTTAAGCTCCAGGTTGTCTGTCTGCATGCAGTTAACAACATCAGGAAAGAGGGCGCTATAATGCAAGAAAGCACAAATAACTGGAACATCCTGACAAATTAAAAAAATTGATATTTAGAACATAGAACATAGAACATTACGGCGCAGTACAGGCCCTTCGGCCCTCGATGTTGTGCCGACCTGTGTTTATCCATTTGTGTTATAACTTGAGTCATGTGAATACATTTCTCAAATAGTCACCACAGAATTAGCAGGGCAATAACTAAACACAGCGAACCAATTTAAAAATTCTTTCGTTACATAAATTACATTACTGTTCAAAATTTGTTAAGGGATCCCTGTCCCATAAAAGGTGTTGATTGTTCATCTGTTCCCTTCAATACCAGAAACTTAACCTTTCATTGAAAAATTAAGTGTAATCTCAATAAACACACAACCATCTTTAAAAATAGAATTTTCACTCCTGCCATTGAAAAAAGGTCCCACAAGCCTTACTGCATGATTCCATGTCTTAGAAACTGGTCTGAAAGTGTACATTGTGCACTTTACGTTATTGTAAAGTTAACAGATCTGATGACAAGGGTTAATTCTAACTGGTATTTTTATGTTCATATTAATTTACAGTAAAACTTGTTAGAAGCCCAGAAATAACTTGTACAATGAGGGACTTATAAATTTTCTAGTACTGAAAGGGACTAAAGAACAACTCAGAGATAGCAAGAACTGCAGATGCTGCAGTCAGAGATAACACAGTGTGGAGCTGGAGGAACACAGCAGGCCAGGCAGCAGAGGAGCAGGAAAGTTGACGTTTCAGGGCAGGACCCTCCTTCAGAAATGAGGAAGGGGAAGGGAGTTCAGAAATAAATAGAGAGGAGGCGTGGGCTGGGGAAGGTAGGTGGGATGGTGATAGGGAGTGCTGGGGATTGGTCAGTAAGGTGGGAGGGAAGATGGACAGGTTGTGTCAAGGAGGTGGGGATGAAAGGGAGGGTTGGTCATGGGATGAAGCCGGGGCTGGGGAGATTTTGAAACCGGTAAAATCCACGTTTAGGCCATTGGGCTGTCAGCTCCCGAGACGGAATAGGAGGTGCTGCTCCTCCAGTTTGTGGGTGGCGTCACTGTGACACTGGAGAAGGCCCATGTCGTTCAGGGAACGGGAGGGGGAGTTGAAATGGTTCGCAACTGGAAGGTGTTGTCATTTGTCGTGAACAGAGCGCAGGTTCTCTACAAAATGGTCTCCGAGCCTCCCCGATGTAGAGGAGGCCACATTGGGAGCAGCGGATGCAGCAGACCACGTTGATGGATGTGCAGATGAACCCATCTGATGCGGAAGGTTTCTTTGGTGCCTTGAATGGAAGTGAGGGGGGTGGTGTAGGGGCAAGTGTAGCACTTCCTGCGGTTGAGTGGAAAGGTGCCAGGACTGATGGGGTTAGTGGGGAGGGTGGAGCAGACAAGGGAGTCATGGAGAGAGCGGTCCCTACGAAAGGCAGATAGGGGTGGGGAGGGAAATACATCTTTGGTTGTGCACCTTTTGGAGAGATCACGACACAACAGATTTTGCCCAATGAAATATTCCACATGGTCAATATGGAGCTGAAAGGCTTAATTTACACTTAGTGTTCAGCAGTGATGCTAATCACAATAAAAAAAATTGCAACATTAGAAATCTGTGGTACAATTACCATATAATTGACATTGCCTAATTCACATTAACTGAACACAAATTTTAAACAAAATTTCATTCTGCTGCATTGTTTGTATTGCTACATTTAAATGATTAGTTATTTTCTACTTAATTGAAATACCATGATATTATCTGGGGGAAGAATATAGTAACTTTACCATCGAACTGCAGTTGATAATTCTTTCACAAGCTAGCTACATAATCCATATTAATAACTTGGATGAAGGGATGGAGGTACTGTAGCCAAATTTGCAGATGTCACTAAAATATGTAGGAAAGTACGTTGCAATAAAGAAATAGAAATTTGTAAATGGATATGGAAAGTGTAGGTGAATGGGCCAAACTATGGCAGATGGAGTTTAATGTGGACAAGTGTTAGATTATCCATTTTGGTCAAAAGAATAGAAAGGCAACTTATTACCTAAATGAAGAGAAACAGAGTGCTTTGTGCAGAAGAATCTTGGCGTTCTTGTGCATGCGTCACAGAAAACTAGCATGCAGGTACAGCAGGCAATAAGAAAACCTAATAGAAGTTTAACATTTATTGCTAAAGGAATAGAATAGGGAAGTGTTGCTACAGCTGTACAAGACATTAGTGAGACCGTATCTAGAGGACTGCGTATAGCTTTAGCCCCCTTACTTCAGGAAGGATGTAATTGCATTGGGGTCAGTTCAGTGGAGGTTCACTAGATTAACACCAGTGGGCTTTGTCTTATGAAGAGACATTGAACAATTTAGATTTATACTTTCTAAAGCTTAGAAAAATGACAGGAGATTTACTTAAGGTTTATAAGATGCCAAAGGACTTTGACAAAGTTGATGTAGAGAGGATTTTTCCTCTTGAGGAGCAATCTAGCATGAGAGCTCTTAGTTTCAAGGTAACAGGTAGCAGATTTAAAACAATGAGGAGAAATTGTTTCTCTCAAAAGGTTGTGAATCTGTGCAATTCATTACCCTAGTGTATGGTGGATGTCTGGGCAGTTAAGTAAATTTGAGCAGATAGACAGATTTTTAATTAGTAACGGGTTGAAGGAATATGGAGAGTCGGCCGGAAAGTAGAGTTAAGACCAAGATGAGTTCAGCCACAATTGTATTGAATGGTGCAGCAGGCTTGAGAGACTGAACTGCCTGCTCCTGTTCTTAAGCCTATTCCTTTGTAAAAATCAAAGGATCTGCCCAAACATAGCATTTAACAGGGTGGTAGGCATCATCCGTGGGTGCTCAGTCAGTGGCCACATGGCCAATGGCGGCGGCACATTGTGGGAAAGGTCCTGGGTAGGGTTGGGGATTTGGGAGGTGGAAGAAGCCCGTTTTGGGGGCCAATGGCGGCCCGAAACGTCAGCCTTCCGGCTCCTCCGATGCTGCTTGGCCTGCTGTGTCCATCAAGCTCTACACCTTGTTATCTCATAGCATTTAACAGCCTTTTTAATGATTCTAGTGTTCTGTCCCCAATACCCTCCAATAAAACCATTCCAGGTACTAACCACCAAGTATTAATTATCTACAAGGATAAAGGGCTGCCCTGCTTTTTGATTAGATCATGGCTGATCTGATTGCAGCCTGAACGTCAATCTCCTGCCCACCTGCAATACACTGATTCCCTTGTCAATCAAGAAACTAATGCAACCTTAAAAACATTCAATCATTCTGCCTCCATCAATATGGGGACTAGAATCCACAGATGGCCGACCCTCAAAAAAACTATTCTCATCTCCATCTTAGATGGGAGGTCCCCAATTTTTAATCTGTAGTCATTCGTTTTGGAGACAACTTTAGCATTAACTTTGTCAAGTCCCCTCAGGATTTTAGGTTTCAATTAGATCATGTCTTATTCTTCTGAACTCACAGATACAGATCCAACTTCTCCTCATAAGGCAAGTCCTGCATCGATTAAAAACCTTTTTTTGAACTGCTTCTAATGCCATTATATTGCACAGTACTCCAGATCTGGTCTCATCAACACCCTGTACAGTTTAGCATAACATCCCCACTTTTAATGTTCTATTTCTCTTCTAATTAATACTAACAATCCATATGCCTTCCAAATCACTACTTGCATTCTACCATTTTGCGTAACAGGAAACCAGATCCCTCTGTATCAGAGTTTTGCAGTCTTTCTCCGGTTAAATATACTGCTTTTCTATCTTGCTGCCAAAGATGGGCAAGTCCACATTTTGCCTCATTATACTCCATCTGCCAATATACTTAGCCAAACTAAATTCATTTGTAAACTTTTAACATCCTCTACATAACTTACTTTTCTACCTATCTTCATGTAATCAGTAAATTTACCAAGCATATATTTGGTCTCTTTTCCCCCAAGTAATTTATATAAATTAGGCATACAAATAAGCACACAACTGGAGACGGCTCGCCAATGTGAAAATGATCCATTTATCCCTTCTTACTGCTCCTCTGTCCATGATAGTGTTACGCCCTTACACCATGTGTTCTTATTCTGCATATTACAATGTGGCACTTCTTCAAACTCTTTTTGAAAATTCAAGTACACCAGATCTACAGGTTCTGCTTTGTCCATGTCACTTGTCTTTTTTCCTCAAAAGGACCCAAATAAATTATTCAAACATGATTTCCCTTTAACAAGATGATACTGACTCAGCTTAATTGCATTTTTAAATTTTGTTTAAGGGCCATGCTATAAACTCCTTAATGATAGATTTTAGCATTTCCCCTATGAGAGATCTTGGGTTGCATTACATTTCTGTCTTCTCTTTTTCACGAATAGCATAGTTACGTTCATTATTTTGCAATATGATGGGACTTTTCCAGTATAAAGGGAGTTCAAGGAAGTTAAAATGGATGCATCTGTCATTATCTCCAACTGCTTCTTTTATAATGTTTGGATGAACCCCATCAGGTCAGATGACTTGTCAGCCGAGTGTATTTATTTGAATTATTTGTTTTTGATTATTTCCATATCTGCTTATTTTGCATTATCCAAAAATACTGCAGAGACTTAGGAATTCTTCTACATCATTTAATACCTTGTAAACGCTCAAGGTTTCTCACATATCTTTCAAGGTCAAACATTAGATTTTCTTGCAAATTCTTCAACAAAGCTCAATTTAAAACAGCCCACGGTACTTCTGAATGTGAAATTATACATGCAGCTCAAGATGTGGCTTTCACAGATCACTGTACAGTTCAGTCCAATATGCTCCAAAACATTCCTTCCCTGATCCGTAACAATAATAGCTTGTGTCCATTTGTATTTTATGATTGCTCAGTGGCTTGATTTTGAAAGTGTGCCATGGGTATTTGCCCTCCTTTCTCTCTGCTCCCCAGTTCAGCTACTGCTCTCTCGTGTGGCCACTCTCCAGTCCTGGGCTCTGGATTGCACAAATCGTGCACTTCAATCTTTCACTAATCCGTGAACTCAGGTACTGGTCCCTAGGCCTTTCTAACTGCCCAGTCAAACTGACATTCTATTCCACAATCTTCAATGAATTCAATTCACTCCACATGATATTAAGAAACAGCTGAAGTCATTGGATGTGGCAAAAGCTACAGACCCTGACAACATTCTGGAAATAGCACATAAGAACTGTGCTCCAAAACAAACCATGTCCAAAACCAAACTGTTCTAGCACAGATAAAACCCTTACATCTACCTGACAAAGTGGAAAATTGCCCAGGTATGTTCTTGCACCATAGCCAGGACAAATCTAACTCAGGCAATTACTGCCCTCAGTCAACTTTAGACCATCAAAGTGATGGAACAGGTCATCAAAAGTGCTATCAAGCAGCAAAGGAATAACACCTGCTCATTGATGATCAGTTTGAGTTCCAGGGCCACTTAGCTGCTGACCTCATTGCAGTCTTGGTCAAAACACAGACAAAAGAGCTTAATTCGAGATGTGAGGCAAGAATAACTGCCTTTGACATCAAGGCAGCATTCATGGCGTCGAGGAGATTTAGGAAAATTGAAATCAACGGAGATTTAGGAAAATTGAAA